TCCAAATGCCGCCTATCAGCCTCCTCTTTGATCTTCATCTGAGCAATCCTCCTCGATTGCCTCACTGGCGTATCTAAATCATCACTTTTGTCTAACTTCGATTTTTGTTTATCATTTTTCGCTTTTTTCTTTAATTTTTTTGCAGATTTTTTACCGGCTATAAAATAAAATGTGTGCATTTATGAAAAACTAAATAATTTATTATATTTTTACCACTTATTTTTATTTTAAACCAGTTATAATTAGTACCTAAACTGTATAGTGTTTCCTCTTCAGATTCACTTGAACTTTTTACCATATGTTTTGCTTCTACTTTTTTTCTGGAAAATGTAATTTTTTTATTAAATATCAATGAGAATTACCAAAACAAACATATTCTTATAATTATTAAAGAACTTTCTGCCTCTACTCACCTAGTTGAGGTAATAATTTTCTTAGGTTTTATTTTCAACCTTTTCCCACCACTCAGAGGTTCATCTTCTTCACTTTCACTTTGCGATTCTGATTTATTTTTATCACTTAGTGATGAATTAATTAATGATCTCTTTAATGCTTTACTATGATTCTTCCCATCACTGAGTTTATCATTCCTACTTGATTCATCTATATTCTTAAGAAACCTCTTTGATCTGAGTTTCCCTTTTTTAGCTTTAATTTTTTTCCTATTTGATATAGAATCATGATTATTTTCATCTACATTTAAATCTTTATTTTCGATATTATCGTTACTAATGTCATTTTTATTGTCTAATGTATCAGTTTCTTTCGAATGTGATACATCTGCATCGTTTGTGGGTTCTAAGCGTAGTTTTTTCGATGGTAACGGGTCTTCTTTAAGGTCTGGTTCAGGAGTTTTATCTTTTTCGTTCAAACTTTCTGTTTGATCCTCATCATCATGCTCAGAAGACAGACTGCTTTTTCTCTTCTCAATAATATTGGTCTTACCATTTTGACACTTTTCAGTTTCATCAACTAAATTTATTTTTTCTTTCTCCTTGACATTTTTTCTTAGAATATGTTTCTTCTTAAGCTTACCTTTTTTCTTAGGTTTATTTACACTATCCTGGTCCGTTGGGCTATTTTCATTAACTGAACTTTCTTTTGTTTCATTATGATTGAATGTGCTAGAATTTGAACTTTTTTCAGGTTCTCTTTTACATTGTTTTTTAGAATCCGAATTAAGTACTTCATTGTTATCAGTTGACTGTTTTTTCAATGTTCTTTTTTTCACTGTTTTTAACTTAACACCCTTTCCTAATTTATTTTTATTGTTTGTAACCTCTTTATGTTCCCCATTGCATTCTTCGGATGGATTTTCTTCATCTGAGATTTCATCACTCTGTTCTTTGTCTTCAACTTCAGGGTTTCCAGTATCATTGTCAAAACCCCAACCGTCACCATAAATAAACAAAACAGGTTCACTTATTTCCTCACCAATAAAATATGAGCTTTCACAATCAGCACCATTACCTTCTCCTGTAACAATTAGTACTGGTTCTTGTATAGTTTCACTTACAGTTTCATTATCATTTTCAAGATGCTTATCAGTATCTTCACATGTTTTTTCCGTTAAGTCTTCTTTCTTATCATCTACAGTGACTGGGTCTTTATTTGAAATATTGTTTTCTACACTTAATTTTTCTGTGGATTCAGAGTATACCATGATTTCCTTATTGGAATCTTCTTTACTGTCTTGTTCTTCAACTGATATTTCCTTAACATTTGATTGATTTACATTTTCACTACATGTATTCTGGCTTAAGTCTTTTACTGTTTCCTTAGTTTCTACATCATTAGATTGATCATTTACACTATTTACATCATTATTTACAGTGTCTTTAGAAAATTTAGTTATTTTCATACTTTCAGGAGATTTTCGCTCATTTTGATTATCACTCTCATGGTCTGTTTCTGACTCGGGGCTCAGGAATTCTTCATTTTCATCTTCCCCAGAATTTAAAGGCTGGAAAATAATTTAAGAAAATGAATAAATTTTAACATTTAAAAGAAGTTTGCAGTACTTATATGCACCAGTTATTTTATGAATTACATGCCTCTTTCTTTTGGGTTGTATCATTACTACTTGAATCTTCACTATTTGCAATAAAACCACTAGTTGTAGCAGAAAGTGAGATTTCTTCTCCAGTTTTCAACTGAGTAATAACTTTTTTTAATTCTTCTCTAGTTCTGAAAAAATACATTTAATATTTATAAACAAAGAATGAAAATGGTAATTTAGAGGGCACCATCTCAGAATTATCAACATTTCATTATTGTAACAATAAAAGTAATTTATCTGGGCATCTTTAGAACGTCTAACCAACATTTCATTGAATAAGATCAATGATTATTATAAATAAACCATCGATATTTATTCTCAAATTAATAAAATTTATACCTCGCAATTAGTTGCCAAGTTTCTTCATCCTGATCCTCCTTGTATAAACACAAGTTGGCATCCTGATCTACTTGAAGCCAGTAAACACAGCCATTCTTATCTCTCCCAATAGGTTCCAATCTCAACTCCTTACAAGATAAGTTATTAACTGTATTCTTGAACTTTACATGGCAAGTGAATTGGTATTCAAGCAACAACTGTAATAAAAGAATGTTACTAGAGGCATTCAAAAAGACTGTTGTGCACATTGCAACTTAAACATAAAACATAATCATCAAAACTTATTTTAAATATATTAAAACCGGTCATGTAAATAAAATATATTCTGAAACAAAGGTTTTCTTAAACTATTAAAAGATAACAAACTAATAGAATCCATAAACATTAACACATAACATACCCTTATGATGATTTCATGGTTTATAATAACTCATGATTTATAATTGGTAACAAGTAACAGCACTTACTTTCAAAGCTTTCAGTTTGACCTGAGTACTAGCTTTCTTATAAGAAAATCTTTCTATTTCCCAAGCCTCTTGATGGTATGATTGTTGGTGGCAAAACTTTATAAGATATTTTTCCCATCGTGAACTCTGAACAGATTTCAAAGCGCGACGTAGAAGTCTCAGATGTAATTCCTTTAATGGCTCCAACACTAAAAGAACAAAACACTCGCGATGGGTAATGTTGTATAGTTTGTTTATACTTATATCGATTCAAGACACAATTTACTAACCTTCTTCGGTATTTTCTATTACTTCCTGTAATTTAGATATTGTTGGTATTTCCAAGCCATACAGTTTTCCAAAAACTTTTAAAAATGAAAAGATAACAGCAAAATTAGGATCATTCGTACAAGAAATCTCTCCATCAGACGCCATCGTCGTCACTTATTGCATTTTACTTATCATCGCTGTGTGATAACACTAAGGATATTTAATTATTTCTCTTACAACTAATGGAGTAGTATAAAACATGTACATGATTCACGAAAATATCAATAATCTTTCATCACTGAAAGCTTCTATTCTTTTCAAAAATAATAAAATAAAACTCGATGACAGCCATCGCTATTCGTAAACATAGACAACATTATCTTTATTTATACACTATGAAAGTTTGAAATACTGCTTGATAGGTTTTGGTTAGTCTATGAACAATTTACTGCCATAAACAATGATTAATTTTACCTACATACTATGGGTACGTTCCGATATACACTGCGACCACTGTACAGAGTACCGTCAATTTAGTATACTGTGAAACCGTTTCTCTATAGCCAGCTATACTGGTTACAATTTAAAACGGAACGCAGTCCAGTATACTAGTCAGCTTCGTTTTTCGACACAGTTTTCAAATGAGTGCATCAAAGTTTTTCAATTCAACAAGAAAAACTATTATTGGGAGTATTATCGCATTAAAAAAATCTATATTAATATTAACTGTCAATTGAATTAATGCTACAAAGAAAGTAAGTATTTTTTAATTAGAATTTTAAATGTTTGTTATTAAACTGTAAGTTATATCAGCCGTTAGGCATTCAAGTGGTTTTGATTGATCACGTGATCAAAGCACTGCGAGTACCTTACCTCGAAAACGCCAGTGCTCGCAGTAGAAGTATAGCGGGGATTTGTGACGTCATATATTTCCCTAGGACGCTGCGGCTGTATACTGGCAGTCCATAGCGGAACGAATTTTTGAACAGTGGGAGCACTATACAGTACTCGCAGTGTATATCGGAACATACCCATAGTATGATAGTACACAGTACACACGTCACAGTTCACACTGTTATGTGTACTATTAAGATTTCTGTGGGTGTTTTGCGTTGTGTTTTTTATTGAATAGTAGTTAATTTATAAGCAATATATTATTATACCTTTACCTTAACAATGTTTAAAATAGGAACGGTGGTATCGCTTTTTCTGATAATCGCATCTAAATAAAAAGTTGATTACGAATTAAAAACTTCTTTCATTTATACTATTATGGATATTGTACTGAATAAAACTGTCTTGCATAATCTTAAGATTTAAAATCGCTTATACATATCAGCGAGTAGCGACATAAAATCTTATAATGCGATGAGTATTATGTCCCGGTATAGTGATCTGAGCGAGTTCTAATATATCATTGATATTTTAGTTTGTAAGACCGATTTCGAACAAGCCTGAAGCCAGTATGCGATTTGAAATATTATACCAATATAGGTTTTTCTATACGATTTGTTTCGCACACTTTTACTTTTAAACTAAATCGTATTTGATTTAAAAGGCTCTGTGCAAGTGTGCTACTGCTAACTGCTTGTGTTAAATGTGTCATAAAGTAATATATAAAGTTCTTCGCTTAAATCAATAAGCCGATTTTGTCGTTTTTAATATAAAAACTTCTTTTTAGGGTAATTTTAATTTTTTATTCTTGCAAGTTGGCGTTTTAAGTCATTTTGACAATTACACTTGACAAGACGACAACCTCATTGAAATTATTTTATAGGGCCTAAGCGTGTGTGTGTGTATCTTGTGTTGATTTCGTTTCCCTACTTTGTGAAATTGTGTGGCTGCTTTGTTTCATAATTTTAAACCTAAATTTGGTACTTACCAACATGTCTTCAGTATTTTGTGGAACTAAAAAGCAGAAATTAAACAATTCTTATAGTAATCATGATGACCGACCTTTGAATGGTTACAACGAATCAGTGGCTATTCCTGATATGTGTTACTTTTGTTTCGATGTTTTGTATAGTCAGCTGCATAGCATGGACCCACCGCAAACACCTGATTTTACGAATGAGGCATTGTAAGTTCCAAAGTTCTATATGACGATATGCCGAATTATAAGCTGCTTTAGCTTATAGGTGCTCATCTTAAGCCTTGTAAGGTGGTTGACCCAATCAGTATATAATTAGTATAACGCTCTTTGTGTTCAGCTTTCACAGTATATATAACGATACCTATAATCTCAGTATACTTATATATGGATTAATTCAAACTCAGTTAAGTCATACTCTATGCAACAACATAAAGCAGACCTATTAACAACGATAATTTACGTTTTTAAGACCTATAAATAATTTATTGAAATGTTAAAATGCTATTAATTGTATGGCATTTCTGTTTAAAACTGCCTTAATTCTCTTCCAAAGGCTATATTTCATCTTTTATTCTGGTAGATAGCTACTACTACATTGTGTTACATACTGCTGGTAAAAAATTGGCAAAAGTTTTTATCAAATTACTATTAAATTATTTACAATTGATGTATTACAGAATACTAAGTTTATGGTGTTTTAGACTCTTTATCGGTAAAAATATTTAGATCCAATTATTTGCTATTCTTTAAATAAGTTTGATACAAATTTTTATTCCATGATGGTATTCAATTCATTCAAAGAAATACATTAAACTACAACAAATAAATATATGGTGTATAAATATTATTAATTTAAACAATTTATATTTTTTTTTATTAACTCATAGTTACACTCTAGAGATATTATTAATAAAATAATTGGAAAGTATATATAATTTTTTATAAAATTAACATCAAAATATAACCAAAATTACTTTTCAAAATCTGTTTTTTAAGCATTATTTAAAAAATGATATTATTACTTCAATTTTTTTAAATAAATTCATAGAAAAATTATACCAATAGTAAAACTATATGTATTATGATTGAATTGTCTAAAACACCAAATTAGTTTAACAAAATATATTTTATTTACAGTCCCCTTTTTGTAACTTGGAAGATTGGTAAAGAGCATCGACTTAGAGGGTGCATAGGCACATTCAATGCCATGCATTTACATTCAGGTATTATAACTACTGCTTATAAATACATATAAGTTAAATAAAGACAGACTGTACATCATGTTTTTAAGTTATGAGAATCTTGATAATACCAGTATTTTTTTAATAAACTTAATAAAGTATTTAATATTTTTATTACTTAAAGACTTTTTCTGTCTTATAATAATATAATTTGATTTACAGTGCTGTCTTAACATACTTCAGCTTTGTCTGATGTTATAGTTATATAATATATATATTATATATTTCATAAACATCCTATTTGAGGGGTTCAACAAGAAGGGACTATTGCCTGTCACATGAGGTTGTTGACCCATATGTTGCTCAGTTAGGTTGTATGTTCTCCATGTCAGTATGTTTGTTTGCTTTAGTACAGTCCGGTTTCCCATTCCTTAATTAGGGCCAATAATTGAAGGGATCATCCTTCTTGCTGAGGTCACAGACACAGCCTGTAAATGAAGTGCTGTCAGGTATCTACACTACAATAGCCAAATCACTATACCAGTGAAACAATGCAGATAGTCTAAGACTGTAACGGCAAGGCTCATTGTTGTAATTGCAATAAAATGGTAACATTTTTTTTCATATCCTAATAGTGATAACTAATTACTTATGTTTTAAATGTAAATTCTTATTTTTTTTATATTGTCTTGTTCAATAGACATATATTTTCTTTCGTTCGACATGAACTTTATATTTCAGTTAAGTGCCAAAGCACATAAATACACTTAGACTTAAAATGATCACCAATCATACTTCGTAAATTATACATTTAGAAGTATCGTCGGATTCCACGGCTTTTGTCCTGTTTCAGGCCTTCGGGAATACGCAATAACAAGTGCCTTTAAAGACTCCCGTTTCTCCCCAATTACGCGGGATGAAGTCCCCCGGTTGACGGTTTCCGTGTCTATCCTGCAGCATTTCGAGGAAGCCGAGCATTATCTAGACTGGAAGCTGGGCAAGCATGGGATTCGCATCGAGTTCGTTAACGAACGTGGCTCGAAGCGCACTGCAACCTACTTACCTCAAGTTGCTACTGAACAAGGTATATATATTTTAGTTGTTTTTAGAGCTGTAGTTATTAACCATTCACTTAAGGCAGCTCACGCAACCCGACACTGAGGCGTGTTCCTCTCGCACACTCACACACATTTGGCACCCTGCAGGAAACCAGGCTTGTTCAGGATAAACTATAATTGTTACAAGTGACTTCTTTACTTAAGTGTACAAATACATATTTACTTTTTTATATGAAGTGAGAATATAGCTGGAATGTGGTAATGTCAAAGATGATGATGATGATAATTTTGAACATGTTAATGTTTAACAGTTACAGGCAGTCCTCGTACATACGGCATGTTAGGTTCTCGAAATACGCGACGTAAGTCGAGATATATTTTTTTCGTATGTTTACATGTAAAACTCAAGGGTTAGGTTCCACACGGACTCGAAATTAAAAAAACTGCATTTATAACAAAGGATATACATACTTTATTATCAAAAGTAAGTTCTTAAAATAATTATATATGCACTTATGATATTGCTAGTTATTTTTGGTATTTGTGTGTTATTAATTTTAATAATAATTATAAAACTTTAATATGCAATTAAAATATGTAATGAGAAATAATAAATTAAACTTTTGGCTTAAAGAAACTATCAATTCTAGATTGCTTCGCTTCTTTTTCTTGCTATCATACAGATCTTGGTAACACTGATAGGCTGCACAAATTTTGTTATTAACGTTGAAACTTCTCTCAAAATTAGGATCATTTTCTTCAAAAATTTTCATCCTCCAAATTTGCACAAGACAAGTGAATTCTCCTATGCCGGAAATCAAAACTAATGACGTATGCTTGAGGAATAGGGTCAAAACATTGTTGGACGTAACTTGAAACGACGTAAATCGAGGACTGCCTGTAGTGATATTGTATGCCCCCAAAGTCGAGTAACATTATTAATAATTTCAGGCTGGGACCAAATACAAACAATTGATTCTCTCCTCCGAAAGGGGGGCTACAAAGCAGCCATTACAGCTGACATGCGACGGAGTATTAAGCTGACTAGATATCAGTCGGAGGAAATCTCCGCTTCCTACAATGATTATATCAACCAGCGTTGCTAGCAAATAGCCTCTCAGCCCTGCTTAGGGTTCCCTTACACGATATTCGCATATCCACCTCCTTTTATATATCGGACAAACACGAGTGACAGTGTTAACGTAGCATCTAAGAATACATACAGTGTTCCAAGTATGTGGAATTATACGGAAAGTCAGAATTATGCTCAAAGTGGTTCCGGGCGTAACAGATCTGTCGATATTGTATAAGATTTTATCACTGCCAATGACATTCCTGTGGGAAGGGTGTCTTCCCTCGGTCGCACATTTCACATTGTACTGAATACATACAAACATCTCTTACGAGTGGTGTAATATAATCACAAAAAGTACAAAACGTATAAGTTATAGCAAAATATAGGTGTGAAACTAAATATTAGAAAAACATATTTTTTTAAATCGACAAGTAACCTCGCTACATCTTAGTAATTCTAATCTCTCTGTATTACTGCAGATTTTCTGAATAACCACTACGAATACGTCATAGTCGTAGAATAGTGACGGATCTGAGAAATATGAAACTTTACAGGGCAGCCATTTCAAAATAATATAATAATATTAGATTTTGTGTCATAACTTTTTTAATTCATATTCTGTAATTATGAAAATTGGCATACAAGTAAACAAAAAGGTTTGTCTGGAAACAAAATAAAAATAATAACATTAAATTACACAGTTTTCTACAAAAATGCTTCTTTCAAACCCTTTATCGACTGATTAATTTGAAATTTAAAACACATGGATTTTTTTTAATGTAGCCGTAATATTTAGTCAATGTAGTATCCAAATATAATAAAAAGTGGATTTTGTATTTTTTTCAAATCCAACATTGTTCTACGATCATGACGAGATGGTTTATGTAAATAATCATAATTATCTCTAGATAAGCCTACAAAATTAAAAACTAATTATTGCTTTTACACCTATTTCTAGCCATAACGGAAATACTGTGCCTTGTTGCGCGATCTAGCAACATCTTTATAATGTGTGGCCAAACTTACAGATTCATCTAGCTTAATAGAAATCGTAGCCAAGCATTATAAATAGATTTATAAGTAACATCTTTTCAGAGTAATGTTGCGATGATTCTGTCCATTGATATGTAAGATACGTGTTTTTACATCCTTAATGACAGTTGTATTTCCTTCGAGATTTTTGTAGTAGTAATGTCAGTCGCATTTGAAAAATCTTATCTATAAAAATATGGGAGACTTGCGGATACTATTTTTATGAAAGTGTTGACTTAAACTGCATAAAACAAACGCTTGCCTCTTCAAACATACATTAGTTAAAATGTATGTGCATTGTAAAATACACCTTACCTTACTTATGTAAGTACATTTACCAATGCAAGTCTCCCTTAAAATACTAATATTATACAATATCCTGTTTTAGCAACTGACGATAACTATATGAGGGGTATGTTAAACGACAAGTACACAAAATATTGTCTTATTACCAACTAGCGGACGAAATATCGCAGTTGTATCGCATAGATTAGAAGTGTTGAACGAAGTTTTCTCGATTTAGAAGAGTAATTATAGATTGTTTTGGATTTTTACTTAGTCCTAAATTAGATTATCATGCATCAGGAATATTATTAATATAATCATTTGGGCCGAAATTTTACAAGTTCGTTAAGTATCAAATTCGTACCTCCAGACGATTATCCGTCTTTAGCACTTAAATATGTCAAACTATGTAGAAGAAATGGTTTATGACAGCTTCGAAGTACATTTCAATCGGTGGAAGTTCTTTAATACGGGCCTTATTAAAATCATAATAATTATACAATGAATTCGATGTATCGTGATATTAAATACATTTCACGTTTAATAGAAAGCACAATATGGTAGAATAAAATTTAAGAACTGGTATTAAACATTTCCATGACAAATTAAGGTGTAAAGATTTATTGCTTGTACATAGCAACTTCGTTTTAATTTCATGCCGCTAGAAAATTATGAAATTAATTAAAAACTACTAAACCCCACATGTATGTCATACGTTTTTTAGTAACAATACGAAGAATGTAGAATATTTCCTGATATGTATCACGGATTATGTATTAATCATGTTAGTTTTATGTTAAATCCTTAAAATCATAATAATTGTTTTATACTTAATTCACATCATTAGATATTAAATTATATTTTTCGTATAAATTCACGTAGATCATAATTTTGACTTTACGTTTAGTCGTCATCATTAACGATATATTAATTCATAAGAAAAGTGGCGTGCTTAATATTCACAAGAAATAATAGCTATTATTTTTAGTAATTAAATGTAACATAATTTAGTAACAAAATATGGTCGTGGTAGTTATGGCTAAATTGCGATATTGTGTTAATGTTGTTGTTATATTATAGATTTACATTAGTCAAGGTTTCAGGTTGTATTATGTGAACTGGGGTTATTTACATTTATTAAAAAAAAGTTATCCAGACATGTAACAAAACCACTCAATACTACACACTGAAATACAAAGCAGCCACACTTCAATTTCACGTGTTGCTAAATGCAGAAATGTATGTAAGGTTTTGTTAAAAACTGGACAGATTTATTGTTAAAAAATATACAATTTCCAGACAATAATTTAATATCTATTTATTTATCAATCCCTGAATAAATTGGGAATAAAATATAAGTACCATTACAGCATGAAAATATCTTCGATATTTTAATGGAATTAATGGTGAAACAGCACAAACTTATTTTTAAACAATCATGCCAACTGAGAATAAGGGATTGATGTAGCATTTTGTAACCTCAGTTCAAATATATTAGTCAGTAAGTATGTCAATTAGTTAGGTTTTCTCAATTTATGAATCTAATTTTTATCAACTAACCTAATATGACTTTTTATGTTCGTTGAATAAGTCTTACTAACACTAGGCTTCGGCTTTTGCTTTATATTTCGTAAAACAATGAAACATACTACAAGTCAAGTATTACTGTACGTAATACGCGGTTCTTAGTATGCATTACATTTTCAACTGTTTAATTCTTCAGCAGTGATGCCAACTCTTACAGAATCTTCTAAAACCCCTGAAGTGGTTGTACACTCGGTTTGACAGATAATTTCAAATATTCATTAAAAATACATTCAAGTAGTATACAATTTCGATCTTGGAAAATTATTTTGCTTTTGATATTTCAGTTATAGCCACGCTTGGATGTTACATTTGGTTTAGTTTGTTGGTTGGATTCTAGTTCTATATAAATTTTATAGAATCGTTCGTTTAAAAATCAATATTGTATAAATTACCCCCTAAGACATCTTGATTCCCCTTATATTTGAGGAGGGGAAACCCCTCAAGATGGCATCACTGTTCTAAGAGGTTTTATGGATTTGATACACTGTTTGTGGGCATCCTTAAATGTTCTTTTCTTTTAGAACAAAAATAAATTCCGACTGGTATAGATTAAAACTAGCTAGACACTCGATTATCCATTGTATGTAATCAAAGCGAAAATTCTAAAAAAAGTATATAATACTAAAAATACAAAAAGTGTTTAAGATAAGGCATAATTTGTTGTAGGTAAGTTGCCGTTTTACTTTAACGATATTTTTAATACGAATTGTTGTTATTTTAATAGACGTTGACTGGTTGAAGCGTCATAATCTTAATGATAAATAAAACATCTGCCGCCAATAATATATTTTTTTTACTTTATATACACTTATTAATAATTATTAAGTTTACCCAATTCTAACTGTACGTACACGGAACCTATAGGACCCGTATCTCTCTAAGACCAATTATTAATATAAACTTAATGTTAGAACATTCTTCAACTTGACCATAGTGTTTTTGTTATTTTATCGATAATAGATTTTTATAGTATCTATATAAATGTACAATCCTGTTCTTTTTATCCTATTATAAAAAAAACTGTGTGTGTCAGCTCCGACGCACTACTGGAGCTTACTCCTTAAGTACGATTGTCTAAACATACGCAAAAAGATTAATACAATATGAAAGGGTAAATTAACAAATTAATGAAAATAATAAAGCTTTAGACGATTCGCAAAATTAAACTTTGATGTATTGACTTAAGGTCTAGTTCCACATGCATCTATGTATCTGAGGAAAGAGACAAATGAATTAATACCGTAACTGTATAGCACGAAGGTTCATAATCCTTTAAAATATAGGTGCGCACCAAAAACGTAACGAGGTCATTCATCAGTTGATTTTACTCCTCACATTTTTCTCATACTGGCTGCCTTATATATGAAAATCGATTCTTAAGGAGTAAACTCCAAAAATTGAAGGGCTTTTTCTAATAAACAATAACACACTGGAATATTGTAATGTTAATTCTTAAAAAATAATATTTCCTGTGGACAACAGAACCTCTTCTAAGACCAACAATTTATAGGGGAACATGGCATTTTACGAATTTAAGGATACTAAAATGAAAAACATATTAAACTATAACAAATCTATTTACACTATAAATTAAGACAACCAGTAAATAATTTATTGCCCTCTCTCTGATAATACTTTTCTTTCAAGATCAACAAGTTTATTTCTAAACACAATGTTGTTTTTGAATTCAAAGTATGTAATAATTGATGAAGCTGCTACTTGTATTAAACTTAAAGTTGTAAGTGTTCCAGTCAAAGGTTTGGTCAGTTTTTGAACAAATTTAAACATCACTTTGGGTCCTTGTTGTAGGTGTGGTACTCTATAGGTATTGTATCTGTTAGCCAACTGAAAAGTTAAATACTGGTGAAAATATCTCATTTTAAACATGTTTCAATATTTTTTGAATAGTTGTATTAACCATCTGTAGATGGTTTTTATATTATTTTTTTAACATACCATCAAAGCTCCTGTGGGTGCCAATAACATAGGGTATGTTATGCCCAAAGCTAACTGTATTGCAGCTGATCTCACTTCATAACAAATAGGACAGTGTTCATTTTTCATCAGCAGGAGATCGGTTGATATTAGCTGCAATAGATGAATTGTGGTCAATGTAACTGAAGATAACGAAGATTACTAAAAATATTTTGACAAACAAGCAAGTGTAGTTGAAAACCTTGGATCAGTGTCAATGCTGATGTGTTTATACTTCACTTAATTTTGTATAGGTACCATGTAAACTCTACATAGTGACGTTGAAGGGACTTTACATAAGCTAGCACTATAGATAGATGTTACTATATATAACAAAATTACACAGCTGAGCATATTTGACATATCTGGGAGATTAATAAACTTGAAAACATACATGTCTATGAAATAACATGGTCAGAATGGCGGGCATAACTGACACAGGTATGACAGTAGCTAGGTGTCCATATGTGCCAAGTTTTAGCTTTACACGATAATGTCTGTTTAAAACTACACCAGACACTGCATTTATTACTCCTAGAATTGTAGAACCATGACGTAAGGCCCATCTGAAAAACAAATGTTTATTAGAATTTTGGTGATACCGAAGTTACAGAAATATGTTACGGTATACAGAATACCACCCAATAATAAAATAAGAATTGGTAAAAATGCACCTATTATAAAAGTTTACAGCTAAGACAATAATAAACAGAATTATTAAAAGTTAGATTTGAGATTGTGAGACGACATAACCTTAAAATCAATTAAAAATAATAAATGAAACATACACATCTGATAAGTTTTTCCAGTCGTATACAATTTCCCAGATATAGTTTGAAGCTTCATTTTCATTTAAAAGGACTGCATCTTTAGGAATTTCAGAGGATCTCATTAATGCCATTTTTAAACTTAAAAATTATTTCTCCTTGTGTGTGCAGCTTATTTTAAGTCATTATAGTAATTTAAAAATCTAAATATAAAGTAAATATCAAATTAATAAGTAGAAGTTACAGTAATATTATCAAATATCTACATTGAACATTATACAATAAGTTTTTTTTTTTGGAGTTTATGGCCTGGGGGTCTAGCCAAACGTCAAAAACTAAATTTGTATGAAAACTTTTCGACACGAACTGTCATTTCCATACAAATTTAGTTTTCGACTTTCTACATACACTACTGTTAAGGCATCTTGACTAAGGCCCCTGGTATGCTACCTTTAAGCCATCTACAATCAGTGATGCCAATTGCCAACTCCTGTGACCTGTCTCCTAAGTCCTACAGTATGTTCCCCCTAGGATAGGGATGCTCGATGTTAAAAGCAAAAACATCGATGTTAACTGAATCGAACATCGATGTTAAGTCACGGCCTCCGCCACGACCAATGCACATCGATGTTGGGCTTTCGATTATGACATCGATCTCAATATCGATGTTTTTCTAGCATTGATCATCCCTACCCTAGGATCAATTTCAATTCTATCGATTACAAACTCCTAAAGTTTTTGGGGTTGGATTTAGAAATACGTCGCACGAATTTGATGATGCTTATTTTGCAGGAGTCTCGGGAGACCTTGATTGGAACACCTCCAAGTGATTTTTGCTGCCCGAAACGCGTCTAACTATTTTAAATTGTTTATTAAGTTTTGTGAAATGTATTGAAATTTGTAAACTATCCGCCATTTCCTACTTTTCTATTGGTTATAAGAGTGTGACATTTGACATTCTCGTTAAAAAAATCGGTTTTTAATTAACCGTTGTTTTTTAGCATGAAAAATCGATGTTAATTTCGTGTTGATAGATTATAGGGTTCCGAAAATATTGAAATTATCGATACTTATTCGTTTGTATTTCCTAATTAGTACTTGTATTTAATTTTTTGCAATTTTCTGTAATATTTAATTCTTGATAGAATAAAGTGTTTACTTAAATATCCAAAAAGTACCTAAAACCGAATCAGAGCACCCCACTATCCATGTAGTCTGGTCTGTCCTATCCCTAGAGTGTATATAAAAAATCGGAGGCGCGGAGGAAGAGCAGCCCCCACCCGCTGTATCAAAGCACAGGCATTATGCAATGCACGCCGTAGCGGCTAAGGCTGGTCGCCGAAGGCGACTAAAAAGCCGAAGCTGCTTGGAGGCTTGAATAAAATGCCTGAGCTTTGGTACGCAAGGGTGCAGGGTCTGCATTTCCCGTAGCGCCGGAGCTATCCAAAAAAATCTATTATTATTGTTCGGTTAGGTTATGTAAGTACATAATAAAATAGTAGTATATGATAAAAAATAGAAAGAAAATAAATAAAAAAATCAGAAACAATTCAAAACAAATAATAGAAAAAAAACGGGTTAGGGTAGGTTGGGTTTGGTTAAGTTTGGAATTGTTTTTTATGGATTATTGGATTTTTTAAATTGAAATACCTGTTTCCGGCGCGCAAAATTAGTGGGGAGTGATTACTACACGCCTTCTCCCCCCTCACCCCCTCTCCCCCAATTCGTGCGACGTATTTCTAAATCGTTACCATTTAAGTTGCTGCTTTATATTTCTTAACTCCTCTTTCTTCTAATTTAGTTTTTCTTAACTTTTCTTGGCATTAAGAAAAGAAAAGAAAAGAAAAATCTTTATTTTTCTCCACAATCTTACATTGATATTAACTAAATATTAAGAAACAGATATATTGTCGCAAGGAAACATTATAAGATTGTGAGAGACTGGTGACTGAACTAAGCAGGGCTTGTATCTCAGACCACCAGCCTCTCCCCACATGGTGTAAAAAGTAGCCAGTAACAAGAGTAAATTATTAATAAGGACATTTTACAGATGTAACATGGAGAAAAGAGGTACCTAATTAAAATATGTAGGTGTGCAATCGCGCCGATATAACATCCGTGCTAATTATTATATATATTATTATATATATATATATATTAGTACTTAGATAAATATATATATATTAGTACTTAGATAAATAGATAACAGTACATAAATAAGTATAAAAATAAATAGTAAATCAAAAATAAGCTATAAATTGTAAGTTAGACCATTGGTTGGATTAAGTTTTCAGTCTCATCATAGTTGAGACCCTGTATGTAGGCAGTAACCTTCTTTTTACAACTGAAGGATAAGAGTAAGTGAATATTCAGCTTGCGAATTAGTTTGTTGTAAATAAAAGGGCCGAGGTAACAGTAGAAGCGGTGGGAAAAGGCAGTGTAGAGAGAAGGAAGGTGAACAGGGGGTGGGCGGCGAGCAGATCGAGAGGAAGAAGGACTAGGTTTATGTTCGTGATGCTGTTTGAGGGCTGTGTTTAGGATGAACAGTTGACGTACTGTAAGCAACTGAGCTTCCTGATAGAGGGTGAAAGTAGGGAAAAGAATGGGTTTGAATAAGCAAACTTTTAGAAGAGCCCTCTGGGCACGTTCCAGGGACAGCAGATGGGTTTTGGCTGCACCACCCCAAGTGGTGATAGCATATAATAAAACAGATTGACATAATGCTAAATACATCATTCTGACTATATGAGGCTCGGCAACATGACGAATTTTCTTAAAGATAAACATGAGTTTGCGGACTCTACCACACATATTCATAAGATGGGCCTGAAACGTGAGTCGACTATCTAGTGTGATGCCAAGATACTTAACCGTACAACCTCTCTTCAATGTAGCGCAAGAGCATGGAACAGAAGGAACAGAAGAATGTGTATGGGCAGTTAAGGAATACGGGATTAAGGCTATGGGAGGAGTATATATGGAGAAGGTAAGATAGCAAGTTTTCTCTATATTAAGAGTTAATAAATTTTGGCGCAGCCAACACGAAACGATATCAAATCCGGTCTGTGCATAAGAGAAAGCTTCCCTCCAGCTTTTTGCAGAGAAAACAAGAGCAGTATCGTCGGCGTAAGAGACTAATTTGCTGTTAGGTATTTTCAGGGAACACAGATCATTCATGTACACTAGGAACAGCGTAGGACCAAGAATGCTGCCCTGGGGGACTCCGAATTCCACTGGAAGGTAAGAGCTGACATGGCCATCTACCACTACACATTGACTCCGACCGCTGAGGTAACTTTTAAATAAGGAAAGTTGAACTCTTCTCACTCCAAGCGCTTCCAGTTTCTGTAGAAGGATTTGGGCCGAGACAGTGTCGAATGCCTTCGCGAGGTCTAAGAATATGCCCAGACACTTCCTATGGCTGTCCAAGTTCCTAACTATGTGATCGGTTAATTCATGGATGGCATCCGATGAAGATCTTTTAGCTCTGAAACCGAATTGGTTCGGAGAAAGTAATTGTTTATCTTCCAGATAACTAACGAGACGTTTGTTTATTAGGCGTTCAAGGATCTTGGACAGTGCTGACAGAATAGAGATGGGGCGATAGTTGTCGACACTGCCACGGTTGCCGGATTTGAAAATGGGATGCACTATTGCCTTTTTAAAAGCGGATGGGAAGATTCCCGTACGCATACTTAAGTTACATACATGGGCGATTGGTGTAGCTAATATTTTAAGGTTGCGTTTAAGTATGGCAGACGTGATGTTGTCCCAACCTGCAGCACAGCTTTCTTTCAAGGAATTTATAGTGATTTCGACTTCTTCAATAGAAGTGTCGAGCATGACTAATGATTGGAGAGGAAAAGGAGGATTTGGTCGTAATGGAGGTGGAGAGTCGTGTTGATGATTGGATTGTATATTTAAGGCAAGCGATTTTCCGATACCCACAAAGTGAGAGTTAACATGGTTTGTTGAGTCTTTTGGAATCGCTCTACATTTTAGGAGGTCACTTGGTCTATCATGTTTTTTATTAAGATTACTAACGTCTTTTATAGCTGTCCAAAGTTTTTTGGTGTTAGTTCCTGCATTTAGTAGTAGACCTTTTTCATAATTCTTTTTAATTTCTTCAGTAGACTATTACAGAAGTTCCGGTATCTGTAGTATGTTTTACGCAGAATATCATTTTCAGGTTGCTTTTTTAGTTTGTAATGCATTCTATCTCTATTACGTATACATTTAAGTAAGCCTGGGGTCATCCATGGCTTGATGATTTTAGTGCGGTGAGAGCGAGTCATGACGGAGGTGTGCATAGAGATAACTGATTGAAGAAATTCTATCAAATTGTTGGTTGCTTCTTCACAGTCAGTGTTATTGAGAACAGATGAAAAATCTGTATTCAGGAGAGACTGTGAGAGGCTATCATGATCCACTTTTTTGATAGATCGAGAAGGAGCAGAGTAGCGATTCTTTATATCTAAGGACATTACTACTGAACTATGATCAGTGATTGAAGAATTGATGACAAGAGTAAGAGCAGTAAGAGGTGATTTAAGAATACCGTGATCAAGACACGTAGAAGAAGGAAAACGAGTAGGGAAGGTATGAGTTGGGAGAAGCCCATGGAAAACCAACATGTTGAGATAATCTTCAGCTTCTTGGTTAAGATTCTCTGGAGTAATATCAATATTTATGTCACCTAAGATTATTATATTTTTGAAACTTTTAAGAGATTCTAGCAAGGTATTTAGAGAGTTAATAAAGTTCGTTTTATTTTTGAAAGCACTTGGTCGATAAATACCTAAAATTGCAGTATCAATATTAAGTTTAATTAAGAGAACGCTGGCTTCTGCTACAGAGGGTTCTTCAATTGAGATGCCTGTAATACAATTTTTATAGTAAACCAGGACTCCGTCATTTTTATTAACTGGGTTACAGGAAGAGATGCTGGAGAAACCTTTTATGGTTGGTATTACCGGGTTGCTTTCTAGAAAACATTCAGTGAGAATGATAATATCCGGGATAGTATGAAAATTTGTAAGTAAAATTTCAAAGTTCGCGAAATTTGCCGATAAGCTCCGAATATTTTGCGTTATAATATTTAGGACTTTATTATGTTTAGGTAAATAGTTTCGGACTTCATGTGGATCACAGCAATGGCTTGAAGCAACCGATAGATTATCGATGTTGTTTAATAATTGTCTATTATTACGATCGAATTTTGAAGCCTTGAGTAACTAAAAGTAACCAATTTGCTAGCACAATACAGTTATTAAATGGGAATAGCAGTGTAAGGTCAATGAGTGCAAGCACAGGTTTACTAAACTTAAGGATATATGCACGCATTGGAATTAGAGTACAATTTAAATAGTATATATCAGTGAGATAGTCATAGATTATGTATAAGAGAAAAGTGTCTACAATATTTGTGTGTGAATAAAGAGGTATGAAATTAATTACGTGAGTAACAACTCTAGAATAATATTTGAAAATTGAGCCTAAGGAACCAAATACTATCAGAAATGCTAAATTATATAGGTATATTATATGAGGAAATATAAAATATAATATAATACATATGTAAAGGAGCGTCGGCACTATAGCACAGTTACAAACAATGATCTTACCTAGTACTAATATCATAGTAATTAAAAAACTAAATCTAATCATAAACAAAGACGGAAATACGTCGCAAGGATCTAGTTTTTTGGCTGGGGGCCAACCAGCTGACTTTCATTAGTAACAACAATGAGTTTGGTGTGGTCTGCCTGCCTCAGCAGCACTCGGCCTCCGGAAGTCCAGCAATACTTATATTTTTCCGTCTTGGCGTATTCTCGAGCTAGATAGTATAGGCGGCGTGCCTGTGCCGTCAGATGCTCGGCGAAGTAAATCGGATGTTGCGGACCACCGACGATGGTGGAGTTGAGTTTGTTACTGCCTCTGTTATGTTCTTTGAAAGCCTTCAGAATTCTTCCCCTCGTAATAACTGAATTCAGGGTGCATACCAGAGTGATACTATCAGACTTTGACGGGACACGGCGGATATCAAATATCTCAGACAACGAGACTTCCACCGATATCTCCTTGAAAAGCCGAGTGACAACAGATATCTGCTCATCCTGAGACAGAGTTCTGTTTGCCAGCCGGATGTTACGAATTTCCAGGGAGCTCAGCCTAGAACGACGGTCCATATCCTCTGTTGTGTCTTCAACCTTAGATACACGCTCGAGGAAAGATTGTGTTTGTTTTTGATGTGAACTCAATTGTAACAGCAAGTCATCATACTTTTGCGACAAAAATTCTATAGATTTTTCTGTTTCACTCTGCGAAGCCAGAATTTCTGTGTTTTGTCGCACAACATCCTGCACGTACGTTTTTATTTCTGACAATTTCTCATCAGTTTCCTGTCGCCACATATTAATCGTGTTTAAGAATTTATCGATTTTTGACTCTTCCGAAGCTCCACCACATTCGCACCGCCTTCGCTTCGAACGTTGAGTAATGTTGTCATCAATAGTGCTAGTATCACTTAAGTTTAAGTTTGGAGCGGAGCCATACTGTACATCTTGTTTACATGGACTTCTAATCATTTTGTGATCGCAAACAGAAGAAGCTATCCGTGTCAGTGCAAAAATATATATAAAGGCGACAACACTTAAAGTGATGTGCGATTTACTAATAATCTTATGGTATAATTAGTAAATCACTATTGGGCCCAGTACTAGCCACGCCTCCTTTAACTTGCTCGTACGCAGGTGGGCGTTACTGCTAATTAGCCACTCGAATTGCGGGATGCGTAACGACGAGATGCGCCAAATATAATTATCTCACTCACTCTTATGCTGCGTTACTTGAGTGGCCTCCGAGCTTGGTGGGAGAGCCGTAGTCACCTCGCAGTACACGAAGCTTGTCTTGAGTATCCTCGGGAGTTATGTGCGCCTAGTACTCGAATCACTTATTTTTGAATATATTAAATTTAAAAATATTTTTAAAATAATTTTATAAGGTGTAGCCGTAAAACACGTCTAGTCAGCCAGACATCCAAGGGGGGAGAGGATATATGTATAATATCTTTTTTTCCTTATTTTCTTTTCGCTTCTTGTACTTTTCTAACCGTTGCACTATTAATTTGATCTTGGAGTATTACAGTTGTTTTATATTTATAGTTAGAGCCATACTTTGGAGTTTATATTTGGTTTAGTTTGTTGGTAGAATCGTGAAAAATATCTAGATTCCCTTAAATTTGGGGAGAAATACCTCCCACAACCCATTTGGCATCACTATCTAAATCAAACATTCTCAGCAGAGTTTATCTTTAATTTATCACAGATTTTGTAAAATCAAAGGGTAAAACAAGACTAGCAAATACTTCTGTGGCACGAACTATGACTACTGTAAAAAGAAATGTTTATTTTTCTAGACAATTTGAAAATATTGTTTGCATAGTAAAACAACAACCGATGGTTTCTAATCTAGAAGAAGGAAATTTTTATCAACTCTGGCCAGGTACTCAAGTACTCAACGTCAGGCCTGATACATTTGTACTTTGCTCGAAAAATGGTCTCAACTATTATTTAGGCCATTTATTCCATTAGTAGCTAAGATATTGAACTATGGAGCATGAAAATGTTGCGTAATAATAGCCGAAAAGCTTTACATTCGGCCATTATTAATGAGAGCAAACACATTTCAAATACTTAAGCTAAGGAGCAGTCATAATGGCTATAGTTTTCAACTTGTACAGACCTATCGGCTATCACTAATTCACTAATCACCCTTGCGAATCGTCACGCGTGAGGTTGTGTTAGTTTTTATCTGTATTCTGCAGTGTTGTCCATTCGTCAATATCTGTGAAATTCTGTTCTGTGATTGTGTGTGAAATTTTTGAAACTCGATAGTCGATCATTCATCATTATCTGTGATTATCTTACAAAATGTTGAGGAAAGTAATAAGAAAAACATTGCTTATAATATATTTGAAGAGAGTTTCGTAAAAGTTCTGTTTGTTCCTTTTCAAGCTCTTTAACACTTGTCCGTTTAACTTTTCGAAATTTATTATTGTAATTATAATTTATGATACGAATTATCGTGTTAAAAATATAAAAAGTGCGTATTGTTTCGTAGTTAATTCTTAAAATTATATGTGGTTCTGAATGAGTCTTTGTGTCATTAAAGTATTTGCAGGAAAAGTGAGTTTTAGAAACAAAATGGTTTCAAGAGCCATGTCTGTTGATCATTCGTGGCGAGGAATCCCATTAACGCAGATATACGGTTCAGATTCGCCATGGGGATCACCAGAATTTCCGTTGGTTCAACCAGCATTTAACCATGCTGTCTTGCATCATATACTTCGTAATGGAGACATGGAAAGACCACCAAAACCTCACATTGGCACTGATAAATGGGATCAGGATCATGTTAGAATGCCATGCTCGCGACAAAGCTTATATCCAATAACTGATGTAAGATATTTTTTTTCTTTTTATAACCGTTACGGTTTTATCGTTTATTCTTGTGACTTTTTAATTATAATTTTATACCTATATATTAAATTATTAATTATTTAAAATAAATAAATTATATTCATAATGTTTTTTTAAATATTATTATTATTGTTCTTTCAGGACTCAGGTTGTAAAATATTAAAAGAAAGATGGGCAATTATTGAGGAAACTTTATCTAAACCTATAAAAAATGTTAGAGATTTAGCAGCAGCAATTATAACATATAATACAAAATTTAAAGATATTTGGACATTTTCTTCTTTGCACTATTTATTTGATGAAGTAAGTAATTTGACTAAGTTCTCCTGTTGCCCTGATGCTGTATCCATTAGTGGTTATCCTATGTCAAAGGTTAATAATTCTACTTTACTAAGAAAAATAATTAAAGCATGATTTTCATAAATTATATTTGTGTCATTTCTAGTTATGAAACTTATCTACCACAGGGTATTGTTGCTCGGTAATATATCAACAGTGGGGGATATTTTTGTGATGCTTAATATATGTAATATAGGACTTTCTGCTTGAAAGTTTCTTAGTTTTTATGAAATATGAATAATTTTTCAGTACTTAGAAGAGGAAGAAACAAAATACTTCTTTAATGTGACTTTACCACAGATGGCTAAATTGGCACTGGGTCTTCCAAAATTGATTCAGACAGCTATACCTTTACTCAAGTAAATATAATTTTCTGCATTTATAAGGGAGTGCAATATATCTGGCTACTATTGTGTAATATTATTTAAAACTCCTTTCATATATGATTAATGTTGTGCAATTATTGGTACCTATTTCAGACAAAGAGAAAATCATTCTATATCTCTTAGTCAGCAACAAGTGTCAAGTTTACTGGCTAATGCATTTTTCTGCACATTTCCTAGAAGAAATTCGAGAAGAACATCTGCTGAATATGCCAACTATCCATTCATCAATTATTCAAAGTGAGATCACTAATTTATTTAATAAGACTAGATACTTATAACACAAAATCACACATTGCAGCAGTTAAAATAAAAATAATGATTGAAAAAATAAGCAAAAGGAGATATTTATTAAAAATAATCAATATAATTTTTCTTAATTTAAAACAAATTAATGCTAAAAACAAAACATAATATGGGACTAAATTTCTTTTCAGCCTATTTAACCTCACACCAAAGGAACATGTCTTGGAAAAGCTCAAAAGTATTTGTCACTACTTCAGGAGAGTTTGTAGTAAAGGTAATTGCTTTATTACATATTATATTTTGGCTGTGGGTTCTTCAGCATCTATGTAGCTATAAGCGTACAAATGCTCGAAATGAAACTCAGTGTTGATGTTCTGTTTATTAGTGATGGTCAAACAAAATTACAAAGCAAAGCAAGCTTATGACTAACGTCCGTCTGCCACGGCTGCGTAAATATATCTAACAATGATACAAATAATACCTAAAACAAAACCCTAAAATACCGCACCATTCCGCTGATACTTGTCGCGCACCCGCTGACCGTTTCCTGGCTGCCAGATTCGTTCACCAGCTTTCGAAATTACAATGTTTGTTGTCCATAACAGTAGCTTTAAAATTCATGAAACAGTTGAGAATTTTGTTAATATTCATATTAACAATATAATATAGTCAAGTCATTCAAAGTATGCACAATGTGTGAAAATAAATAATCTAGAAATATCTACATGCCAAAGAAGTTCATACTAATTTGTAGATAGTCTATATTTTTGAAGCTTAAGATACCACAGCAGTATGCTTTATTTGATCAGTTTAATTTAATGATATGGATATAGTTGGCACATCTGGCTTAGTTGTTAAGAGATATGGCAAACAACAGCACACAGTAATGGCCGTGCTTCATTGTTTATGGGAGTTTAATAGTAATTTGACAAATAAATTGTTAAGAAATTTATTGTATGGGATGGTATAATATGTAGTGTCCTTGATTTTTGTTGTAAGCTTGTATGTTATGTTCCGAGTAATAGTCTATGTATGTATTAAATAGTCAATATATTTCTCCAAATTGTACTAAAAATAAAATATGGTTGACTAAATTGTTTGATATCTTTTAAGAAGACAATTGTATAAAGTAAATATATTCTAAGTCAACCTTAAACACATATTTTTCAAAGTTGGAATGGTTATTATTACAAAAGCAATGTTTTATTATCATCATGATGAGACTGAGACATAAATGTTGTCAAATGACTATACAACACCTGTTCCAGAGTAGTACCGACGGGTGTTATTACATTCAGCCGCCGCTCAGTTCCTCCTAATCATTGTCCTGATTGGGAGAATTCATCCGTAAGTCTGGCAACACTGCCTGTGCATGTTGATTCAGAAGTTATTATTGAGGATCTACCGGGACTGATACAAGTTGATTTTGCTAACAAGTAAGTAATGTTATTTGAAACATTTTATTTAAAAGTTTCTTAGTCTCTCTCCCATCTATAATGGATACTTAGATTTTTTTATAACAAGAAAAAATAAGAATAATCTCTTTGGGAACTGTTGTAAGTACCTTGTCAGTTCACAGTGTATGTGGTTGGCAAAGAATGCCGAGCGTTCAAGTATTACGTCACGCAAGTTTTGGAGATTATTGACCTCCCCCCCCATGTAACGCGCCGTAACGTTTTTCTGTACCCAAGTATAGTAAAACGTTTCGTGACTACCTAGTGACTCTTTATGCCTAAAAGTTACCATTATGTTGTGTAAAGTACTGGAAAGTCGAAAGTTATATTTACAACGCGTAATTCAATCCCCGCCCCGTATCGTAACGTTTTACAAAAGGACTCCCCCTCCCCCCACAAATTCGTTACGTAATACTTTAACGCTCCCTAATCTAGCGGCTAAGCAATGTGGGATAAATTTCACATAATATGAGTCTTATTTATAATATAATCTTCATCACGCTTGGAATGTTCAACACCTTATTATTGAACGTATATATATACAGTGATAGATTTATTTATCCCGTATTATCTCGACGTCCGGCGTTTCACAATTGCGAGATTTATAAGGCACTTTTTACCGCGCACCACCCCTATACAACCAGCACCCCATTAAAGTATTTCCGAACCAAATCGACGTCGGGTCTTTTAAAACAAAGAGCGTACCTATTCCTAACGGCAACGCACTTGAGTGTCCTTAACTAACATATTCTATAAAAAAAAAATATTTACAGATTACACACTAGACATTAATATTAGTCTACAAGTTATCTATCTATAGATATTACTAATTATACATTTTGATATACAATTAAACAATTTACCAAATGTAAAAATATTTTTTAGGTTTCTTGGCGGTGGAGTTTTGAGAGGAGGTTGTGTTCAGGAAGAAATCAGATTCGTGATATGTCCAGAGCTGATGCTGTCCATGCTTTTCACCGAAGTCTTAGCTGCTAACGAGACTTTGATAATTATTGGTGACTATACATTTCTGTAAAAGGTATAGTGTAGGCCTAGGCGTGCGAGTCTCAACGCTGAGGTCGTGTTTTCGAATTATGGTTACACAATGGACTTTTCTTTTTATGTGCGAAAGTAACACTTGCACCGACATCCCCACTAGGGACACTTGCTTGTGTGAAGAAAAGGCGATCTAGGCAAACAGCCTTCTTGTATATAAACATAAAAATGATCTATGGATAATCTGTAGCTAAGAGTGATAAGCGCGACTGGATTATTTATTACTACTAATGTTTCGAATGAGTATAAAAATTGTTTCCCTTCACATAATATTAAATAAAAATTAACCCATTGTAAAAACTAATTCAGTCTAATTAACTATAGTGCTCTTTCATCTCTCTCTGTCAATTTGGGCTTACTCTGTGATAAAAAGAGAAAGTAATATTATTATATATTTATGCATATATATTTATATACGGCATGTGATCGTATAATTAAGTAAAAGCTCGACACGCTATTAGTTTACCAATTTACTAGCGATTTTCAGTAAACTGCCAAGGCTTTTTTAAGATTTGGTTTAAACATAAATAATTTAATTTATACAAGTAAAATATATTTTCATGATATAAGTTAATAATAAATGTTTATAGGTAGCGAAAGGTATAGTGAGTACACTGGGTACGGATCAACCTTCCACTGGTCAGGAGACCACATAGACTCCACACCTTTTGATTCCTCTGGTCGAAGACGCTGTGCTGTTCTCGCGATGGATGCCATCCCATATAGAGACAGGGCCAATCAGTGGAAGAAGGCTTCGATGATACGGGATTTGAATAAGGTATTAGAAATCTTTAGAAAAAAATTGTTATGAATTTCGTTTATTGTGTTAATTTTTCAATTACTATATTAATGACTCCCAGGCCTGGGTGGGTTTCTCAAGCTACACTATCGCAGAACCGGGTCTACAATACCCCGGGATAGCAACTGGTAATTGGGGATGTGGGGCATTCGGTGGGACGGCAACGCTCAAGTCCTTAGTACAAATGATGAGTTGTGCGCAGGCGCAACGTCCAATGGCTTATTGCACTTTCCACGACACGGAGTTGAGAGATTACATTGAACGGGCTTGGGCGATGTTTACTAAGCATCATGTTACTGTTGGTGAGTGAGAAAGTTCTTTGTAGAATTAATATATATTTAAACCAAATACATAATTATACCATAATGTATTAGTCTTCGTTCGAAAACACATTGCCAGGAATCAAACCCGACTCCTGAATAAAGCTTTTCTTAAGGCAACATGTTGACCGTAAATATTTTTTTTAGGTCAGCTTTTCAGAATGCTTCTAAAGTACTGTGATACATGTAATGTTAAGGAAACCACGTTGCTTTCTTTCTTCGAACAGGAATTTGGAGAACAGCCCGTGGCCAAAGACAATATCTCTATTGTGAGTGCTTAATTTATTTTAAAATTAATCTATAAAAATTCGGATGAAAGCATTAAATTAATCTAACAGAATGTATGTGAGACTCACTAAGCCAATGACAGGCCTGAATTATAATGTTACGTGATATCAATTAAATGGCAAAAAAATTTGGGGCAAAGAAATACGTCGTTTTATAAACCTTCTTCGGGTTTTTGTTGTTAAATATAATGTTAGCGAGGGAATTTTTGACAAGACTTTGATAATGAGATGCCTATTATTTACCTTTTTAAATTAACCTTAGCATCGTAATTGTTTTTTAATAGTTTACGTTATGTTTTAATAGACTAAAATTTGGATAGCTGATGGCGACGCGTATCTCGTTCGTATATTTATATTATATTAAGTTTCTCATGTAAATAAAAATACATTTTTTGTAATGAGAAATAAAGTTCTTTAAACATTTATATTAGATTATGGATTGTAAGAACGTTGAGTTGTTTTGCACTTCCTTTAATTAATTAAAATAATATATAATTTACTATTTTATACATAGGTCGATGTTTCCAGAGGTTTACGCCAAATGTAGACAGCGAGAGACAAATTATAATAAACCATGTTATATAAACAAAAGTTAGCTGTAAAATGACAGTGTTCCATAAATTATTTATGAATCATTCAATGATGGGAAAAATCGAATATATTTTGTATAATCTTTTTCGATTTGATCGCGTTCTCGAACAGCCACAAGACATTTAGTGATATTTAACTTAGATTAAAATATATTCACTAATAACGACTTTTCGACAGGACGACTCTCAGTCGAGCAAATTCGAAGAAGTTTTATTACAAACATCGCCAGATTTATTTTCTGACGACAAAGAGGACAGCGTTGAGGCAGACTCCTTAACAATCAGTCAGAGTATGCGTCTATTTTCCGAAATGGAAAAAATCGATGCAAATAGTGGTACTTTAAACTTAACCGGACCGCGGGGTGAAGAAATGGATGTCGCAGTGTCGCCAGACATCAAAAAGAGAGTGTCGAAAAAAATCACAGACTACTTTGCAAAGAAGAGTTGATTTTAATAAATGTTTAGTATCAATAAAGAATATGAAATGCATATGATTTTTATAATTTCCGTTACCTGTCTTTCATCTTGACGGTATTTGTATCTCTAAATATTGCTTTATTAAAGGTAACTAGATGTTTCTTTGCAAAAAGTATATATACCCCTACATAAAATACCAATAGTATTAATCAACTGAGAGTACTGGTTAAATCCCCAAAATCACGGATTTTCTTATTGCGTAGTGATAAGAAAAACTGGCTAACGATTATTATCTGTGAGAGAGTCACGGTACGCTGTGTTTCTCATTGAAACCTGACTTTGAAGAATCATAGTATTATAGAAAAATTATAACGGCTTTTATTTAAAAGTTATTTAACCGTTACCTGTCAACATTTACCTTATTATGTTCCGTCTAGAAATGTACACATCTCGAAAACTGCTGATGAACCGGTATTGATGAAACTTAGACTATTTCCTATTTTGGAATATTTCTACTACATAATTAATTCAAATCAAAAATAATTGTCTAGATATTACTCTTTGATCTCGAGCAATTTGTAGACAATCATTCCAATGTACATTGTTATTAGGTATTTATAAAAATGGATAAACGAATTAATAGTATTCGTAATAAAAGGCCCGAGTAATATAATTAAAATTATTTATTATCCTTCCTCATATTTCTAGCATACTAAACGTAATAAGTGTATAATAATAAATAATTGAATAGTTATTTAGTTTCAAATATGTTTTGATACATAATATAGATAACTCGATAATAGGATTATCAACTAAACATGCAAAGTAGGCAAAACATTATTGTATTTGTTTCATATAAAGTGACAAATGCAGTCAATTGCCTAGGTACAGTATGAATTTTACTATAAATTAAAAATAATATTATCTAGCGACGCTTCAAAAAGTGATCATAATTCTCTTATTTTACAATCTTTGGCAAAATATAACAATATTTTTATGATATACCAAATAGCCTAGCTATCAAATGCTTCAAGGGAACATTATTCAATTATTTCATTATCTAGTTAAGTGTATAGTCCGATAACAATTTTAACGTACCGTTGGTTTTTTTTATACTTACATAACATTGGAATCGATTTGTTTGCGTCTAAATGTTCCAAAATAAACGCAAATTATTACGATCCCAATTGACAATTTTAAACTCATGGCAAAATAAATTGTTCCTAATGGCAATATACAAAAACTGTCAACTGTCACACACATACATGAATTGGGCTGTGTGAATCTTTGTGCAATATAAGACAGCTATTAACAACCACTAGAATACAAAAGTTTTTAAATTGAGGACAGTCGCACATATATTATTTCCATTCTATAAGAAGTGTCAGCCTATTAAATAAGAAAAAAATACTGTGCCCACTTAAACAATTAATCGACTAGCTAAGTTACACCAATTCCCTTTAACTACTTGAGATACAAATTAACAATCCATATCATGTTTGTACTCTCAAAAATATTATGTGCTGTTTCATACAAAAAGCGATTTATTCTATTGAATAACAATAAATCGATCTATAAGACGAGAAAAAATATTTCTCTTACACAGAACGATGGTAAAATAATTACGTACTATAGTCTAAAATGCAAAAATAATTTCAGTTTTTATTTCACAAGCGATTGGTTGGTTCTGGCAATTCCTATACAATTCCCTTCAGCGATTATTCGCTATTTGAAAATCTATTTGTATAAATATGGATTACCGATATACAATTTACCCTAACTATCGGTTGCAAGGAAAAGATGGCAAGTGTAACCAGTTCGAGTTTGAAAGATACGTAGGCTTTATGGACGATGGTTTCAAGCGTATCACATATACCTACTGAGGTATCTCCTTTACCACTAGCTATTACTATACAATTTGCTCTCATTAAAGAAGGTCTTTCAATGTTCGCATAAAACTTTAGTAATGATTGAAACTTCTGAGCAAATTGTATACGCTTAAACTATTACCATAAGTTATCCAGAACAATGTATAGACAAATGTACGTTAATATTTGTTGCGTTTCAATTGAGAAAATGATATCGTCTAAGTATAGGTATTTACATTGTGAAACTTTTATCTCTAAGTTTTAAGTGATTATTGTAATGAAGTAAATAAAATCTCAATTGAACATTAAACAAGGTAATGGTGTTATTTTATAGTGTAAAAGAATCATTTGGGATGAATCGCCCTGTTTTCAGTTTTCTAAAAGCGATAAGTGGTACTTTGAGATTTCCTTAGATATATACAGCGACACCCTGTCACCCGCCCGAGAACACTCGGGGCAAAAGGCTAGTAAGCTCCTAAATTAGATATGATGTCAAATTACATTATGATTATTTACAGTTTGAGTATAACTAATTATGGCACTTGATAATTCTGGGTTAACAGGATCGCTGTTAGCGTCAGAGCCTACAATGAGATAATCGCCATTTTCTGATGGCCCGAAACCTGGGACCAAGGAATGACATTAGTCGACGTCACGTGACCATTGTTAGTGGGTCACGCCTGTAGCAAAGTGATTTTGTCTCAAGCCCCTGTCAGTTTAAAGTGCCAAAGTTAATGTGCGCAAAACTGCTAGAGGCGCGATACGCAATTGTGGTAAATATATAGTCGGAACATTTTTACCATCTTTGATTATTAGAATAGAATGAGAGGACGAGAAACGAGGTGTTAAGACAACGTATCTTCGCATTTATAAACGATCCTAGACTTATACCAAAAACATGCAATAAAATAATAGATTTTGAATAAGTTTGAAGATTCTGAAATCAAAGCATTCAGCATACACTTGTTTCAATATTTATTTTTGGCCTTATTCTTGAAAGAGATAAGGACGGCGTTGTCATATTTGTAAATGTATTTTTCCGACACCGTAACACACGACAATGTATCCCTTTACGTGGTTTAATTTTTCTACTCTTATCTTTGGCTAAGCTATCCATCTCTCTTCTATTTCTACGAATTATACTTATCCTAAGAATTTGAATAGGTATACAAAACAATATTCTGGATAACTTATCAAAAATGATACATAATTATACCTTAATCGATTAAATAATATAATATGCTGTATTTTTAAAGTCAGAGGCAGCGAATAATAGATACAATTGTCAAAGCAATGTTGTAATAAAAAAAACCTCAAGTATTTGAAATAGTTAAAGTATGCTTGAAGCTAAACTATGCTAAGCAAATAAAATCAATCAAAGAAGAAGATATGACTAGATCGTTTTGCATTTTACTAAGATCTACATTTATAAAAGCACTATGCGCCTCTCTTCATATTATTTTAATATAAATAGATATATGATTACATAATTATTTCGAATCCTAATTTTGTTTTAATAAAAGTATTGGCATTCATCTTAAAATCTAATCGAACGGTGATTGGATTAAGCGCAGGTAACCGTAGCGACACGTAACTGATACGATACAACCGCAACGAAAGTTTTTGATGAAACATAAGTTCGTGTCTTGATTTCACACCGTCCGATAATTATTCAATCTAAATAACGATCCATCATCATTCAACAAACTTATTTAAACCTTACATGTGCGAAATATTTTCTTTTAAGAGCGCTCACATATTACCTTTAATGGAATTTGAAAACTCGACAAATAATGTGTAACTGTCACAGTCAACTGTCACATAGTAAACGATTGTCAAACAATTTATTAGTTTTTATAGTTGAATTTTAGATGGCATGACAAATATATAATACAATCCAAACAAATAATCCTTTCTGTAATATATGAGTTACTTAATTATAGACGGAATTAATTAGCTTATGATTTAAAAGAAAAACTATAATTATTACGAAGACAACCAAAACGAATACACACATGTTTTATTTATATTATAAAAACTAACTGCATTATTCAATTCAAGCAAGTGCAAGTCCAATAAGTTTGCGAGTATAATTAGGATAAGAGTTTTGTAATGCTACAATATTTACGACAGAGTATAAAAATTCCACAAACTACAGTGGACCCGAAAGAGAAGCGGCGCGGGCGCCGCCACTAGGGAGGCCGATGCATGACGACAATTTATGTCACCATTATGCTATAGTAATTCTAGTACCATATATTTGATAATTGTTATGTGATAACGGTTGTCTGGAGATCGATATCTATTCCGTGGCTGCGGAACCTGAGAAAGGCCGAAGTCAGATTGAGGCGAAAATTGCCTACAAAACATTTAGATACATTTAATTGCAAAGCATACCCTGTATCCTAGAATCACTTTACGGGCGATTGTTTTATATATTCAGAAAGGACACATTTTAATTTATTATCAACTATGCGTTACGGCACATAATATACTTTGGAGGATTTAGAATTGTTTCATCAATATAAGTATTATAAAGTACAAGTTAATAATTAACTGTAACAAACGTGTCGCTCCGTACTCAGTAGCCATCCCTCGAGCCCGCTACTCCTACCTTATCCACGACATGATATAATCAATAATATTATAATCATTACACTAGAAGTAAGTATACGTTCCGATTTGGCATCATTTAGTTCTGACTATATATTATAATATATAATAGCCAAGCGGACATTAGATTAGCTGGCAAGTTGCGTCCGATATTTCTATATATGGTTTGGTACGCATATCGACTTCGACTGCATAATGTTAACACGAAGACTTCTCAAGATAAAAATATTAAATTACGATCACTTGAAATGGTACGTCCAAAAATCGTGACGTGTTAAGTGCTTTTGCCGTTGTACAAAACCGTCAAATATAAAATAAATAAATAGAAAGTTTTTAAAACATAAGAACGCTTAAAACAATTTAAAAAGCGTAACAATGTATTGCACTAAGATGTGTACCTAATAATATAAAAGAACTAGGATAGCTACTACAACTAACTACGTAATATTATTGGTTAGTACTTCTTGCCTCCGTTGCATTTTTAAACTTTGAAAGCTAAATCGTATTACACGCCGCGAAGGAGATAGATACATCCAAAAAAACAATTCATGCAAAAGTTTTTTGTTACAAAAATATATAATAATAATAATATTTAACATAGTTTCGATCAAAACAGAACAATTTATGTTTCAATTCTAGATAGTTTTTTAAATATTAAAAAAACTCTGCTTCAGCAAGTTGCGGGGAAATACGATTCGCTCCCAAATTACAGCTTATCGTTAAATCATAATCGTCTTAAACTAGAATACTATATTCCATATAATAATATAATAATTATTTTGTGTAAATATAAAAATCTATGTTTGTGATGAATGAATATTTGACTAGGGCGGCGGTGGCATACGTGGCGACCGCACGCAATTATGATATAAACACATCTGGATAATTTGATATTTCAAACGCACAATTTGATTATTTAAATAAAATATTTTGCACAATGTCGTACATGAGATCTCTTATGAACTCTTGCTATTCTGTGGTAATATCTACTGTACGGAAAAGGAAGATACTTGTTTCAAACTGGATATATTACTATTATTATTTTTTAAATTTATTTAATTTTTAAATTTATAGTATTTTTTAAATTTATCTGTCGTTTTTTATTAAATTTGTTCAATTTTTTTTTAATAAATGCAACATTATTTGCCCCTCATTCATATCTTCAACCATTTTCTTGTTACCTTCCAAATGTGTTTATACCATGTTGAGCCTTATCACATGAGCAGTATTATGCAGAAATAATATATTTTAAAGAAGCGATTTTCTAAAATTGCGTTATACATAAGCGGACGGAAATTTACGGTTTTTCGACAAGAAAGCGTTGCTTTGTAATTTAAGTTTTTTCACATTTAAGCTTAAAATTGATCGTGATATTTGGCTCTATATTTATAGGATTATTTATTCAGTTCATAAACTTATTTTTTATGCTCCTTGCCATATACGTAATCGATTAGCATAGAAGAAAATATACTGTAGTAACTAAGTGTATTTGCAGTAATTTCTGCATGATACTCGCCGTAGGGGGCCCAAGTACCTTTTTTAAATTACGTTTCATTTAAAAATATTTGGTATTTAGCATAAGTATTCAAAACTTAGTGTGTTAAAAACACTGTCCATATCTATCATTACTTCTATTTACATTTTATACAGGCTTCAAAAATGACTATGAACGTGTTGAGAGCGACACGACTAGTATTTTCGAGCTGTTGTTTTTTTTTAAATGGCAACACCGGCACACCGGAGTTTAGTTTCCGCCCGCGCGCATGTGTTTACATCTAAGGTATCTCAGTATTTAAATGTATATTGGTACATTTTGATTATGACTCTATTTTCAGTAGAAATTACCCTAATTTTGTATTTCGCTTTGGTCACTGTTGTCTCCTTAGACATTCAGTTGTATTAACATCTTAACATCAATTGTTCATAATTTATGTATAAGGTACACATTACACACATCCACGAAATTAAAATGAAAAAGCACGCCCTTTCAATTGACGTCGCGTTGGCGAGATAATCGCTCACAGACTTTGTCTGAAATATGGAAACATTTTAAAGATTCGATGTTGCAAATTGAAATTCTCCGATAATAAGGTATTATGACTAATAGATTGAATGCTATCTAAGATGTTGCTAATTCGGTTTCCTTCAGGCGAACATCGTATCTTTAATTATACAAAGCAGGGTGTTTGTTTGTAGTTTTCAAGTATTTTAGTAAAGGGGTTAAAGTGTAAGTCCTTAGAAAGTGTGTGAGCGATAAAGAGCGAAATATAACATGCAAAGACGAACGGCCTGTACAATGCATTATGTTGATATATTAGTTTTATATCACAGCCCATTTGGAATTTACAACATATAAACGATCTTTGAAACAAAGGCCTTATTGTGTTTTTTTTATGTTGAAGTGCACTTTGATTTGTACACAGAGTTTACAACATTTATGTTTATAACAATTGCATAATAATTGTTAAATATTAACATTCACTAACATGGTAATTGGGTCGCTAGGCTTACCACAACTGAAAATGATTAACTTGAAAGCTGATATATATCTAGACATATGTACAATTTTGTTAATATGTTTGAAAGACACAATTTGAACACTTTCGGTTGGCAATAATTGAGTCTGTTGGTTCCGAATTGAGCTTTTGCTTTATTTATGTTACAGTTTTAATTTTAGAATGGCTACCAATTTTATAGTTGTTTCATACATAGTTAGCGTGGATTGACTACGTAATATCAATCATTTACCTACAGTTTTAGGAATTTTGTAAGAATAATAGGATGAAGCAAAGAATTTAAAGTTAGATGAGTGCCTCAGAATTATGGTACAGCCTAGCGTAACAGCTTATATCAGACACTCACACATAATAAGTATAACAAAATATAGGATAATATATTATGCCAATAGTGGTAAATACCAGTACTTAATGTAATCAATAATTGAATCTTGAAAGAGACAACAGTGTTCGCGAAAAGTCAACACCGTATCTTTGTCAATGACCTACGTCTAACAAAACGTAGAACAAACGCGCGTTCAATGCAGCGCCATCTACGCTACGAACAAAACAACAATACAAAGAGACGAGTGTGACCAGTTAAGACTACTTAATATACAATAATTAAAATACATTTTTTCTTACATTTTCAACTTACTTAATAAATTCAGTTTGGCTTAGTTCAAGCAAATAACTAGTATAATAAATTTTATGTTAAAAGTTTCAGTTAAACGTTTAAGTACTTAGAAGTAGAAGTATGATTACGAATGACAAAATTTTTATAACGTGTCATTTTTAATAATAATAATAATAATTTAATGAAAGTTAATCAATTGTATAATAATATAATAGAGTAATTTAATGATTAATCGATAATGATAAGAATGAAGCTTTCTACGCATTGATCAATAGATAATTACTTTTAACTAATATAGTATACTCGCCTCGGTGGCTTTAGTTTAGTTTAGTAAGATGTTACTGATATTTGCTATACACTTGTCTGTTAAATTCATTAAAAGTGTTCGAGTTGCGTGAGTTCGCTCGCCGAGGCCGGAAAGTGCCCATTGCTGCCCTCTGAAAAGATATTCATATATTATACTTTAATAGAGTATTGGTTACATTGGTAACGAAAACATGTAAGCATATAAATTCAGATTTTAACATTCTAAAGTGAAAATATATAATTATGAATGAAATTTTCCCATTTTTATATTATTATTTAACCCTTTCATGTATTGTATAGGAGAGTATTAGGAGAACCGAAGTCTAGTAAATTAGATTAGATATTTGTAAGAAGTTACCGGCGGTGGTGGGCAGACGCGCAACAAAGACATTTCGTGTTAGTAGGGCCTATTGGCGTCTTTGGGCCTCTTAAGCTGGACCTTTAGCCGTTTCATGCCGATTTGGAAGCCATTCATTGCCTGAATCGCCGCCTGGGCTGATGCAGGGTTGTCAAATGACACGAATCCTGGAAAAAAAATATTATTAGTATATCGATAAATTTAACTGATATTTAATAATTATTATATTTAATATATTAAAATGAAGACTTATATATATATATATATATATATTATTGTACTAAGATGAGGACACTAGTGATTGTTCATTTTAATATACTAATTATGAATAATTTGATTTTTAAAAACTAGAATATGAAATAGTAGCTAGCTTTTGCTCCTTTGCTTGTACTTTGACGTGTATTTCGTGTAATATGGCATTTTTCGTTATAATTCAAACTACACTCAATACAAGAACCATTAGCCATTTTTTTGGGTGTATTTAAGTCACTTAGAGGTTTCTTAAATTTCAATTTTGAAAATTCCTATTAAACTTTTGAATGCCATTTGAATAATTGAAAAAGTAATTTACATGTAATGATAAAAAGTAAATAAAAGTAAAGTAAGTTTATCAGGGATAATGTAAGAAAGACCCTAATGGTCAAATCGGCCCAGTTCTTTTGGAGCCTATTTAATGCAGATAAACAATGAAATCTTTCCTCTTTATAATATTGTGTGAAATATTACTATTGCTTAAAAAAATATTTTTATTTTATGTTATGTGCCTTCTTTTTCCATATAACATCTGCATACCAACATTGTGGTAATTAAATTGATTAAATGTATGACTGTAGGTTTAAGCAACCCGTTTACTACCCGTCCACCGCTTCATCTGCTTCACTTCCTCAAATACCTACAATTGGTGCAGGGACAGAGCCTTAAGTCAGTTCAATGTGTGAAAAGGAAGAATGCACTTACCAAAACATTTGCTTTGGTTAGTAGCGCGATCTATAAACACCTTGCTGCTAATCACGTTCCCGAAGGGCATAAACATCTGCATTAGCTCCGCGTCACCAAACTCCTGAGGGAGGTGGTAGATGAAGAGGTTGCACCCCTCAGGGCCTGAGATCGAGCAGCCTGGGAACATAAGAAAATCTTTAAAGAACTCACAAATCTGCCTCTGAACACCTGTATTTTGTTTATAATTAAATATTGGTTAGAAAATATGGTGGTTTTTATTTCACTATTTTGACGAATCAAATTGGCGATTTCTTAAAGATATTATCGAATGTATTGTTAGTTTTGAATAAAGATAAAAGTTAGCCTCATACACAAGCTTGATAATTACAAAATAAAAGAAAGAATTAATAACCGACTGCAATATGCGGTTTGCTCAGGAACTGCTCGAGCGGTCCGTGTATTGCGAATATGAATTTAGTATGGAAACTGCAGATCGCCGTGCGGCGACCGCATATTGCAGTCGGTCTTGACTGCAACATGCGGCCCGTCTATGGCCCGCTTTAGAATAAATTAAAAATTATAAATACGTATACTTCTAATTCTTCACACAATAGAAGTGTAAACACTTGCTGAAAACATGTACATTAAGAAATTTGTTTGCTTGCAAATAAGTTTTAATCAATGTAGTCGTTGTCGGCTACGTCTTATAAAAATATAATTCATATAAGGCACTAGGAAATAACAGTGGATCTACATTATATTTTTAATGATGCTTGATAGAAAAACTCTACAAAATATCTTAAGTCTAGCCAAGTTTTAATCTAGTAATTCCGCCATATTTTATACAAGCTTGAAAAATGATGTATACGAAGAATAATGAACTACTTACAATATACAGGACATTGAAACACTGAACAGAGATGCAACAGCGATATTACAGCAACTAACTTCGTGAGCACTTTGAAATTGAACTTTCAAAGCAAACGTAAAATGTACTTATTTGATAACAAAGCAACATTTAACCATGAACCACTTCAATTATTTCAATGTAACTCGCGTTACATTATTTATTTATTATTTTTCAGGTATTGCTGTAAACTAGATTTGTTTCTACATGATAAAAAAATACATTTTATACACCATGGGGTGTATAAAATGTATTTTTTTGTTGTCAAATGTCTTAATGTTAGAAAAAATTTAAACATGTTAAAATTATTAATGATTTATTATTTTATATGCTTCGACCTTATTTTTTACTGATAGATGAAAGATATGTATATGATGGTAGATATAGTAAATGTTGCTGTAGAGATGATTAAGGGCACAGCTCAAGACTCCACTTACCTTCTCTTTGCGCCGGGGCAATGGTCGACATCGGGGGTGGTATGGGCTGCGGAAACTGTCCGTAAACCGCTGGGTAAGCTGTCAAACATTAAGTTGCACATTTTCACAATGAACACCGATTATATCGCGTGTACATGCATCTACTTTACAATAACGGATGCCAAACTTATTCGAAAAAGCATGTAATTTTGATAACAATAAACGCGTCGCTACAAGTACCTATTATAATATTATCTGTTTGAGTAATTTAAGCCGTGGAAAATATCGAATGTGAGGAACGTTGAATGAAAATAAAACATCAATGCATCACACAAAAACACATACTAAGAAGCGAAGAATGCAAAAAGATAGCTAAGCGATATGAAATCGACATGCAAACCTTGTTTTCATTAAATAAAATGTGTTAATTGGGATTTGAAAAATTGGCTATTGAAAGGAATTTGACTTGCATAAGTCACAAAACGTAACAAGAGAACCGTGAAGTAAATTTATGTTGTAAATAATCTTTATGGGTTTTTAATTATAGTTATATTGTCTATTAATATACGTGGTTGAGATTTCTTTTCAATAACAACCACCACTCCCAGAGTACTGACATTTATTCACACTTTGAGTTATATAGTTTATTATTTACAAATATTACGAAAAATGGAATATGATAAAAAATACTCGAACCAAGTTTGACAGCCGAAATTATAAGAGCTTATTGAGTATTGTATCGAGATTGATAAACTGCTTTTCTCTGTCGGTTCCAATTGTAAAGAAATGAATTCGAATGAACTGTCAAAGAAGTTTACGATAACAAGAGAATAAAGTCAGTTGGGGGAAGAATATTAAACTGAATTCCGATAACCAATATAATGTTTAATTTGTCCGCTGTCAAATTAACATCTGCGGTGTATTTGTTTTGCGTGGAAACGATTTTTTCTTTCCGAGTTAATCGTGGTTGCAAAAGCAAATTGATGAAGCACTTTCATACATAATACGTAGGTTGACCAAATATATCTTAATAATTTAAATGTTTAATGTCTTAATACTTATACCTACATTAATATATGGATATAAATGGTCAATTTAAAACATGAATATACTAGAAGCAAGCGTCTAAGTTACATATTTGAAGCAATCTTATTAGAAGTGTGTTTTCAGGGTAAGAGTGCTTCATGTTCATACATTGTTAGGGTATATGAACGTTACTCACCGACTCCAGGGAATGGCTGCATACCGGGGTACGCTGCATGTTGCAGCGCTGCAGCCTCACCGTTTGGTAGACCTTGGGCTGTTACTGGAACCGCTGGAAATTTTAGCAATATGTTATTACTATATATATATATATACAAACGCTGGAAACGACAATTGACCTCACTTAAAAGATGATATTTATACATCTATTATTACGAACTCTTTACTGTTACGTAAACCCTAGCGATTTCACATTTACTTACGTTGTCAGAATTTCACAATAACCAGCTATTTTAAGCAATAATTTGCTACTAAGTATAAGTAAAATATATTTCTCTAACAAAATCTTACTGTTTGGCATCTTGCCATCTTTGTAGCAAAGCAGGGTGTCGAATATTAAGCGAAAAATAAGGAACAAACAATTCTCACTCGTGCGATGAAAACAGAAAAATAATGTGTTTAGGCTTTTCCGACAGGGTTTTTATTATACTTTTCAGCATATTTTCGACTCACATTATTTTTTATGAATGCTATTTCTCTATATTATTTAAATAGTCGCCTCATATAACCTAAATCAATACATTATAATTTTGACTCATCGAGTAATTTGCTAGCTATCTAACCTTGGCACAGAATAAAATAATTATACCTATGTTCAACAAATATTTAGGTACTCACGTCCAGTAAAAGTTTGATGTATACCATTGGTGTAGACAGCTTCCTGCGGTGGTGGCTGGCCATTAGCCGTCTGCGCTGCCATGTTGAAGCCAGGCATGGTCGGAGACGGCAGCGAAGGCAAAGCGCCATTCAGGGGCTGCCCTCCACCTGTACCTATCGCCAGGCCCGTGAAGTTCTCTGTAAAAACGTATAGGGATAGATATACGCAATTCTGTATCTTCCATGCTTATCTTCTTTATAAACTAAAAACGTTAAAGAATTTCTATTAAGTTCTACGACTAAGCTTATGTTCAAAAGATACTTTTGTATTAGTTGTATTTATTAACTAACCAGACGTAGGCGGGACCACTGAGTTGGCCATCCCGTTGAGCGCGTGCGACGCTAGCGCAGTCATCGGACTGATGTAGCCCTGCGCAGTCGCCGCCACCATCAGTGCAGCTTGTTGCTGTACCATACCATACCATACATTAATAATTTAATATTTACAAGGAAATGAAGAATGATTTTCTTTTTATTTTCTGCAATAGCGAATAGTAAGTTTAATGGAAACACTTTTATAACTTTGTATATTATTGCAAATAAAATTAGAAAGTGCCATCGTACTCAATTTGACTAAGGATATATTTTGTTTCTCGTAAATCAGCTGCTATTTTAAATAAAACTGTACCTGTTCGGTAATAACTTGGGCATAGGTGCCATAGGTTCCGAATTGATTAAACACGAACGGATTCAGCAGACTCATGTTGCCGGCCATCTGTTGCATGCGCCTGAGTTGTCTTTCCTTCTCTGTGTCCGCAAATTTCACAACTAAGCTGGAGGAAGCTCCCTGTAAACAAACGCGTATCTTTTACCTAGGCTTTTATACGTTATAAGTTCTATAACTCTATAAAATTGCGCTGAGTGAGTTCTCCCTAATCACAAAGGACATTATATTTTTAAACGGTTATTCATGTGATGAGATATTTTTTTCCTTATATTAACTATCCGTGGTAAATACTGTAACAACTGCTTATTTATTTTAATTCATGAAATCATAAAGCAATTTCTACTAATTATACAGCAGCCTTACATCGTTGGTTAGAATATAACATTTAATTTTACCCCGATTATGCACGTCTCTACATATTTATTCTTGTTATCACCGCACATGTTAAAATATAACGTCATATCGTGTTAAATTTAACAGCTCTTCTTCATTAGGTCGGCACGCAATCTCGGTTCAGTGTGAAATTCTCAACAATTCTCGCGTCCATTTTGAGGCATTTTGTGGATGAAACTCGTAGATAGCGATCGTGTTGAGACGCCGCAAGTTAATTCAAAAGCTTATTTTGAACAAGAGAATCTGCTTGCGAAATGAACTACAAGTGTAAATGATACGTTTATTTTATTCAAGAGTTCAGCGGTTTATAACAAGAAATTATGTATCTGCTTACTACCATAAATCTCATTCTATTTTATATACACATTATATATTATATAATTTTTTAAGCCATTTTATTTTATGTAATTTTACCACCCCTAAAGATGTTTAAGACAGAATTATCTACCATTTATCAGCTAAAAGACCCTTCACACTAAAGAGCGGTGTTCAATCGTTAAAAATGCAAGAGTAGGCCGTAGGCAATTCTCGTAGCTACAATGCGGCTGCATTCATTATGTATAGCAAAAATACCGCTATAGGCATCAACAGGTTGGGAGCCGATGCAACAAGTCTCGGCTCCACTCCAAAAATGCAATAAACTTTTGTAAGAGGCTTGCGTTTTCTAATTGACTATAAGCCTTTATTATAAACGTTTTGTACTAATTACGTTAGTGGTGTAGCATTATTGTTAGCGTTTAACTGCTTGATTTCATTAGGTAATTTGGATTCTACCAAATTCTAAACCAACTTTTAAACATCATTGAGATCTAATGTGTATGCCATATAAGTTATATTATTATATGATCTAAAGTTTCATATTGTTAAATTTAATTTAATACTTTGAATAATTAATAAAAGTATATTGTTTGTATCTATATCTTTAAAATAATTATAGAGAAAAATATATAATGAATATCAGTTTCTGCTATTTTTATTTCCTTCCTGACATTCTAAATAACATACTGTTAAATATATTTTATATGAATTCAACATATTTTAATAGTAATAAAAAAATAAATTTAATACCAAATTATTTAAATGACATTTTCCAATACATGTACTTACAATAGTCTTAAACTACATAGTAATCATAATAATAAATAATGTAATGTAATATTTTAAATTCAAATACAAAATTATAAGTTTATCAGTAACTAAATGTAACACAAATTAAGTTCAAGTTTAGTTCATATTCAATTCGTAACCGAGCTATTTTCCAAGTTACGATATTTCGATTAATCAACACAAAACCGCAGATTTGGTTTCTCTAATTGATAGACAAACAGTGATTGAGAATTTCAGATTAAGCCTATTTACACGAAGTAGTGAGGGTTTCGACAAATATTATATTTAGTTTGAATAATAGTTTGAGATTCATCAAGATTGAAAGTTTCATATATATTGGTTACTACCTGGTAGTCCTGTATTATATTGAGGTCCAAAAGTTATGATAGTAAGTAGATGTGTACAGCCTAATTAGCAGTCATTGTATAGACGTATACTGACATAATTTTTTATTATAAACGATATTTAATGTTGGTTACGAGGGTCCTGTATATAAATTGAGTATCAAGAATAATCGAATTATAAGTGTTTATCACTGAACTAAACAGTAAATCAGTTTTTATAATCTATCAAATAGAATAGCATTATCTAAATACATATATTCTCAGATATTTGGAATTGATTCGAAAGCACATATTCGGGAATATGAATTAATCGATTAGCTACTATTTTAAGACGAGCAGGGTTTATTATTTAACTACATATGACAAATGAAGTCTTACAAAATAGCGCATCGTAGATAGAAATAGAAATAGATGATCTTAAATCAAAAACAAATTTCCTTGCAAAATATCTGCAGTTACAAATCACTTAAAGTAATTGCAATCTGGCCCATTTTATTACGGGCTAGTCGGCTTAATACCCTCATATAAATGGGAGCTCGTGTCGAAGACGCTTGTACGCCATTGTTCCTTGAAAGCCTACCGCCATACCGCCCCGAGTTAACGTTACTTGATGCCGCATTTAAAATAGCTCTTCGCAAGTTTTTGTCGACTCGCGAATAATTTTGCTCTAATTATAGTTTCGTATAGACTTCGTTTTATTATTTCATATTCGATGAATATTAATGTAATAGTATTTAAGCGGATCTGGCTTTTTGATAATACGTTTGCAATAAGCTAGTTTGCAAAGATTTTATAAATTTGCCAAGAAAGCATCTTGTAAGGCAATTTAAGGCTTACTGCCTTGAGGTAGAAGTTAATTGAAATCTTTTAAAGTTTATTTCGGCTATAAAGGCCGGCCCGTGGCCGAAGTACCGTGGATTTGTCCCGGCTTCCCCGTGGAATGAGATTTTATTGCCGCATTAACTTGATTGTTTTATATACTAGGCTTAATGTGAGGTATCTTTTAATTTGGGGACGTTTTACGAACGAAAATAGCTTTGTAAGGTAAAATGTTATTGTCATAAACATTGTTACCTACTGGTGGAACCGACTTATCTCTGTCATAAAACTTGTCCCGTTTTTATAAAAAAATATCCCACTTAAGATCAAAAATAAGCTGAATATAACAATTAAGAAATAGCTAATTGGTATTTTATTTTGTTTTTAGTTAAATTTTTGAAAATAAAATTTGCGTGTAAAATAACTAATATCTAATATATAAAATTCTCATGTCGCGGTGTTTGTAGTTAAACTCCTACGTAACTGCTTGACCGATTCTCATGAAATTTTGTGTGCATATTGGGTATGTCTGAGAATCGGACAACATCTATTTTTCATCCCCTAAATGTTAAGGGTAGTCCACGCCTAAATTATTATTTTTTAATTTTCAGATATTTTTTTTATAAAATACATACAACCCCTACTTTTCATCCCTCTACTATCAACCCCTATTTTTTATTATATATGATATACATGGCAAAACGACGTTTGCCGGATCAGCTAGTAACATATAAAAATTAATTGATTATTTTGCTAGCTGTTTTTAGTCACAGAATACAATACGAAAATTTATTTTTAATCTAGATAAAGAATTTGTACAAAAACCAGAGACAAAATACCCTTACAAAACATTCACCAAGGGCCAATTCGAGAGGCATTTATTTATTCCAATTTCGGCTTGCAATAACTGGCTTTTGTATTATTCATCACCCAATTATTGTAAAAGGACTGTTCCTAGCACGGAAGTCGGCTCGCTATTGGCTCTTCCGTTTAATACGAGATCAAAAGTAAAGACTTTTTCAAGTAGCCATTATGCTTAGTGGTATTCTTTGTTAATTTGAGTTACATGCTTCTCAATACGAAGTAAATTGGGTATTTATACTTTTAATAGACTTAAAAGAAACCCAAGAAAAGTTTCACGTACTTAAAATGTAGGGAATTCAAAGTATTTCATAAATGTGACGTGTGTGTGAAATAATTCATTTGAACAATTCCAAAGTATTCATGTTCCCAGTTCCATACAAACTAGCGCTGTGGTTGTCCCCATGGGCGGTGGTTTATATTTAACATCAAATTTCTCTCAAATATTGCACAGATATTATATTTTGTGAACTAAAGTAGTCTATTTGTTGTAACTAATACAAAATTAAGGTTAGGCAAATATGTACGCACTGAGTTAAACGTATTTAATCTTGAACGATGTCGGCGCCCATGAGCACTTACAATGACAAAGAGGTCGCAAGTGCGTTGCCGGTCTTTTAAGAACATCTTTTTGGTGCGCTCGTTAATAGAAGGACCCTAAGTCGAATTGCTTCAGAAATACTTCAATGGGCAGTTTGTTCCACATAGTATTGGTGTGCGGCAAAAAATGCATTAAGAAATGCTCCGTTGCAGAAATTACTTATTATTTTTAACATCATATGCAACTTACAATATAAATTTCTAAAAAGAGCATTGCTTAGAATTTTCTACCCTTGCAACTTGTGTAGAACGTAAAAATATATAAAAGTACTAGCTAACCCGGCAAACGTCGTTTTGCCATGTATATTATTTGTAGGAAAAAAAAGTTCAATAAAAACCACTATCTACTATAATAAAAATAGGGGTTGTATGTATGATGTAACATAAAAAGATAAAAACAAAAAAAAATCTATATAAAAAAAATGGGCGTGTACGCGCGTAAGAAGTTATACTTCTTTGGCATTCTTTATTTTTTTTTAATATTAAATAATAAATAATAAATATTAAGCGTTAATAATTTAACAATATTTAATATTTAGTATATAATTCAATTATTAATTAATATTAATAATAATTATTATTTATTATTTTATTATATTATTAATTCAATTTAATAACTAGGTAGGTTTCATAACCTTTTAACTAGGTAACAATAGGTCTTTGTGAAAAAGCATTGCTGAATTTCTTTGAAAAAATAATTAAAACTCCTTTATTTGTTTAAAAGGTACTACAAAATGTCATTATGGTCATTCAAAATTCTTGGCATAGCTGCTAACGTCACGCAAATTCTATTTCTTTTTACTTGTAGATTGTCTTATTCCCATCTCGCTCGCGCACGCTCGGCGCCCATACTGATAATTTTGTGTCACGGTGCGCGCGCATCGTAAAATTTCACTCTCATAAATTTTTCATAACGCGCCTAAAGAAGTATAACTTCAAAAACATTTTTTGGGGTGGACACCCCTTACCACTAAGGGGTTTGAAAGATAGATAGTAGCCGATTCTCAGACTTACTGAATATGCATAAAAAAAGGGTCCGTGTACTTATGTACGCGCGTAAGAAGTTATACTTCTTTGGCAATATTAAAAATAGTTTGGCTTTGTTCCACCTCCAGTTTTTGATGTTTCACAGCGATAAGATGAAAACTCTTTTTTTGTATTCAATTTAGTGCAGTTACACTGATTCATCAATTGTTTTTTGTCTCTTTTCCTTATATTTGCTAGATAAAATCAGAAAAATTACATGTTTTGATTAAACAATGTGGTTAATTTTTTAATCAAAATATAATAATAATACATACGGATAGTTAACCTCAATT